CATTGGATCCTTCCATTATTTTTTTAGAATTTTAAAAGATCAGAAAGTATTTTTAAAATAATTAAATTAAGGCAAACAACGCAAAAATTATGAAAAATATGAAGCATCAAAATAAAATATGAAAAAAATATTCACAAAGTCAGGAATAATTCAAAGTATTTTTGCATATTTTTTTCATAATGTTTGGATAAAAAATAAAAGAGTTATGAATTTTTAAAGATAAATGAAATTTAAAAATAATTTTGTAAAATAAAATAAATTAGAAAAAACCACACGTGTTGGATCTCTTCCACTTATACACACTGGAAGATCTAATGGATCTGAGGTGAGGGAGTATTATGAACCCAGGTCTAGGCGCGCGCATGTAACACAAGAAAGTCCAACCAATCAAAATAAAACAATTGGCTTAGCGTCATTAGTTGAAGGACGACACGTAGGTCGTCTTCAACCTCCAGCCTCCAACAAATAGGGCAAAACCAATATCCTTGAATCCGTACATTTATGCGTTCATGGTGGTATCATTAGATGCAACTACTCGAGACGATCACAACCATATGCTCGCGAAAAATTTATATAAAGCACAACGTAGTCGATTTGGAAAAAACCAGGGATGGTTGAAAATGTTAAAATAAAAATTATAAGAATCAAATACATTGATTCATTAAAATGGAGTTGATAGCAAGCATCAGTGAACATCATAGACCATTCCAGTAATTTGAGTTAGAAGATTTGGTTCCTTAAACTACCTGAACCAAGTCAGATGAACATGCTCTGTAAATGGACTTGGCTAGCACGATTTCGGGCACCTCAAGGCTTGATTCTTCTTCTGTTATCTTCAGTGAAGTTCAAGGATGAAGGATCAATGAAGAAATTGGATTGAAAAGTGAAGAAAAAAGGAATTCCAAATCTCAGAAACGTGAGTTATGGAGGGAGTTTGACAGAGTGATTATGGTTGTTCAAGCTTTAAGAAATTAGAGGAGTGAGGTTCTCTATTTATTGGGAAGCAAATGAGAATGAAAATTTGAATAATTAGTGTAGTTTGGAGGGAAATCGTAAGAGGTCGTGGACATGAGAAACGTGTGACTTGCTTAGCATCAAAACACACTCAAACCTTGCGTTTCAAGGTTCTAATCCTCTTTGGAAATTTGGTTAAACATGTTTAGATCAGAAACGCATGCTAATTTGGTCTTTATAAGCCACATTATGGATTTCAAATTCTGACCTTGAAGAAAACTTCAGTTTCAAAGTACTATATTTGAATCCATGGTGTTTACAGCTCAAGGGGTCTTGGGGAATAATTCTTGAAGAATTTGAAAGATAAGGTTACAATCTTTACAATGTGAAAAGAATGAGATCAATTGGATTCTTGAGCTAGGAGTTGTGATGAATCAAAGTTGAGAAAAAGATGCTGACTTTTTCTACTAAGAAAAATTCTAAGTTTTTCTTCAAAAGTGACCTATAATATTTTGAGTTCTTACAAGGCCTTCCTCCAAAATTGAGCTTTTATCATTGATTCTAGCTTGAAGTATACTTTCCAAATAGTATTGTGAAACTTGAATCACTCAAAAATACCAAGTATTGAAAAAGTTATGACCTTGTGAAATTGGTGAGAATCCATGAGGCGACCTATAATCTTTTGATTTCTTCGGGCATCTTCCACCCATTTTCATGTCTTGCACATAAAATAAGAGTTGAAGTTCACATTCTTAAGATCATTGTGGAAAATGAATTGGCTCAAGGAGATAAAAATTGACCAAGTTATGATCTTTTGAATTCAAATAAGGTAATTTGATGGCCTATTTAGGGGACTTGTAATCTTTCTTCCTCATTAGGCATCTTCAACACAAACTTTTCTTGAAACTCTTGAAGTGATTAGTTGATAACACTTTAAGGAGAATAATACCTTTTAAATCACACAAAAATCTCAAAATATGAAAAAGATATAGCCCTTAGAAGTTCAAAACCCTAGCTCCTAGAGCACAAAAATGACTTGGAAACCCCTTTCAATTTTGACAATCTTTCTTGCACAATCACTTTTTCCATGTGAATAGAAGTTGTTGTGGATGATAACAAATATCCATATCAATTATAAACACTTACAAATATTAATAATTGAGATATTTATGAACTTGTGATCAAGAAATCAAGAGTTTATCCAATTAGGTCAAACATCTTCAATCAATCCTTGCATCTTTTGACTTTCTTTGACAAATTAAGGCATGATGAATCATAGTAGACCTTTTCATGATATTACTCTAAAGCATCATCAATGATGATACTTGAATCTTAATGAAGCTTTGTTGAAGAAGGCATGAAAATAAACTCATGAACCTATAAATCAACCTAATGAAATGTGTTGTGCCATCACCTATAATATCATTAATTAGAGCAAACATTCATTGTATTTGTTAGTTAAAAGTTAATCAATACAAAACATATATGATCACAATATAAAAATCAAGGTGCTTGATGATCCCCCATGAGCAAACCTAAAGATATGGATAAGAACCAAACCCTAGTGTGATCTTGATATGATTGAGTTTATATGAGATGATAGAGGAATCTTAGGGGGGAAAATTAGGGTACAACACAATCATTAATGGAATTTCTTTATTAGGTCTAGTGAGTCCTTCATTGGTAACTTCCAATAGTTATTCATGTTGATTTCAAAGTCCAGTAATTATTGGCATTTCTTGGTTAGGTCTAGTAAGTCCCTCTTTGGTACAATACCCAAAAGTTATTGGTGTTGATTTCAAAGTCCATTCGTTACTGGAATTTCTTAGTTAGGTCTAGTAAGTCCTTCCTTGGCAGCGTCCAATAGTTATTGACGTTGATTTCATAGTTCAGTCGTTACTGGCATTTCTTGGTTAGGTCTAGTAAGTCCTTCCTTAGGAGCGTCCAATAGTTATTGGCATTGATTTCAGAGTCCAATCGTTACTGGAATTTCTTGGTTAGGTCTAGTAAGTCCTTCCTTGGAAGCTTCCAATAGTTATTGGCATTGATTTCAAAGTCCTTTCATTACTGGAATTTCTTTGTTAGGTCTAGTAAGTCCTTCTTTTGTACAAAGTCCAATAGTTATTGGCCTTGATTTCAAAGTTCATTCGTTAATGGCATTTCTTGGTTAGGTCTTGTAAGTCCTTCCTCGACAGCGCCCAATAGTTATTAGTGTTGATTTCAAAGTCCAGTCGTTACTGGAATTTCTTGGTTAGGTCTAGTAAGCCCTTCCTTGCCAACGTCCAAGAGTTATTGGCATTGATTTCAAAGTCCAGTAGTCACTGGAATTCCTTGGTTAGATCTAATGTGATTAACTTCCTTCTTGGTTCAAAGTCCAATGTGATTGGTAACCATTTCAAATTCTAGTACATACCTATCTCCTCACCATCCAAGAAGTTTTTCTCATAGTTGTTTGCATGAGAAGTTTTATTCTCCAACCAATTTTGGTTTTCCATCCATTTGAAATCTTGTTGGATATCACCCTTGTGCATCGACCAATTAATATATCCAAAATAAAATTACCCAAAAATATTCAACTTACATTTCTTTTCCATAGAGTTTAAATTTTACGGTTCTATTGGTATTTAATCCTCTTCTACCTTGAATGTTCGAAAGGCTAGCGTCAATATCACCCTCAGGTTTAAAATGATTGAATAGGGGAAGCTGTTGCACCCAAAAATTTTCCATATTATCATTTCAATGTCTCATAGCCTTATGCTCCATCATCATACATACATATTCATAACAATGGTTCCATGGTTATGACATCAATGTGTTCTTGTACTATTGATCTTTATCAAGCAAGAGAGAAGAGAATTGACAAATAATGCAAGGAGGAAGATATATCCTCAAGTTTATGATCTCTCAATCTACAAGGGGTTCTTATGCTTCAAGACATCTCAATAAGTTCTTTCCTTCATAAGATGATTGAATTTTTCAAGAGATTTGAAGTTGGTCACATCCTCTAATCTTTTGGTCCTTGGGACGGGGTTTTGGTTATTTAAGTGTGTGTCACATTCATGAGCAATAAATTTGAAGCATAATCATTATGTGCATCATCTTATCACACAAGACATTTTTGTTCAAAAGATTCTCAAGCTTCCTCAAAGAAATTAGGGTTTTGAGGGTGATCATCTATCTCATATTTTTTTGACTGAAAATTAAGGTTTTTGATTAAATCAGTTTGTCATTGAATTTTGAGTAATACATGATTCCATGATCCTGTATGTGTTCCAAGGCATTTATGTGTGAAGTATTGGCCATTCATTTTCATCAGAAGAAGTTCAATTGGTCAAAAGACAAGAGGAGTTAATTGTATTTGGAAAATTCAATTGTATAGAAGAAAAAGTGAACTCCTGACTTTTTTTGTCAAACTTGTGTTCCATGAGTCAAATATGGTTAATGGTTGAGATTTGTCCAAGTGGAATCACAAAAATCAAGAAAATCAATAAGGTTGACCAAAGTTAACTTTTTAGGACATAGAAAGTTTCTCTAAGTATTGGAAGTTTCATGGTCATTTTATCATCTTTCAAGCCATGTATCTCACTCATGAGTGGATGAAAATTTGCAAGCTTTTGCTCAAATGAAAGAGAAAGTTACATACTACAACTTTGTCCTTGAGGGCTAATGTCCAAAAAGTTAATGGATTACAAGTTATTTGAGCAAAAAGTTGGATGTTCATTTAAATTTGGATCTTAACACTTAGAGAAATTTTGAGGTGTTTTAGTCAGGTACATCTTCATGTCTTTAAGGTTAATTCTCTCTACGATTGAAGTTTCTTTTGAATTTGCAATGTACATGAAAGTTGTAGATCAAATTTCCATCTTTCTAAATGATCCAAATTTCTTCAAAAATGTTTCATTAAATTGCAAGTTATGATTGTTTAAAGTTGGCTGCATCAACATGCCAAAGTTACAATACTTAGAGAATTTTTCTAAGTTTTTACATCAGTTTCAAGTGACAACTTTCGTGGCCAATTTCAAGTGTCTTACAATCCTCATTTCAAAATGCATCCTACATCAAAGTTGCTCATAGTGATGTCAGCTTTTCAAAAAAGTCAAAGTTTGTCCCATTTGGCTCAAAGATCATGAAGTTGTGATGGATAGAAGAGAGTTGATCATGGTGTTTGGAACTACATGAGATTTTATTAATTTTGGCACAATGCTTGTAATTTCTTGTTGCATGCATGCACATAATCAATATTACACGTCCTTATCTCCATTTATTTACTCAAAACAACCAAACAATGCATGAATCATGCCTGCACACATTCTCCAAGTTTTTCCAACAGAAGAAAGTTTGGAAACTTGCACAAACTTCCTCTCCACTCTTTCCCTCGTGCCAGCTAATCCTTCACACTTTTCTCACACCCTTTCCCTCACAAAAACAAACAACAAATGAGAAACTTTCCACATGTAACACACCTCATTCCAACTCTTTCCATTTTTTGCAAAGTGGACAAACCTACCCTTCCAATGATTTTATGACCATAGTTAACTCTCACCATCATTCTACACTCTCTATATAACACTCTTATTCTATTTATTCACTCACACACGGAAGAAATCATGCAATCAGATTTGAAATATCTCATTCCTCTCAAGCAAAGCTTTCTTCGAATTTCTAAATTCTCTAAATTTACCTTCATTCTTTTGCTCGTTTCTATTTCTCTGAAGATATTAGGTAAATTATTATTGGGTTTCTGAAGCGTTTGCATTGAAGAGAGCAGTGGACTCAACTTCCACTTGGTAATGATCTATCAACTTTATCTCTTCCATTTTAGATCTACAAATGCCATAGGAATGTTCATTCATCGCGTCTGGAAGTCCTCTAAGAGAGGCATTGGTTGAATCTTTGAATTTGAGTTTGTTTTCAATTTTTAAATTTTGGTTTTCAGTTCTGAACACATGACTCGTGCTTCAGTTTCAATTATGGTTGAGTTATTGTTTGTTAGATTTAAGGACATATTCATCTTCTACTCATTAAATGCTTCAGAATGATGTTTTTTTTTGTTAAATTTGATGCTAAGAATTAATGGAGAAATTTAAAAAAAAACCATCGCATGGCTAGGGTTTTCTAGTTTTGTTGTTGTTTATTTGAAGAAGAATGAGACGTGTCACCTCCTCATTGGGGAATGGTTTTGTTAATCTCCCTCTCTCTCCCTACCACACATACGTGGTTCTTTTTATTTTTATCATTTTTCTTTTTTAATCATAGAAATAAAAGAAGAATAAAATGGTTGGTGACGCATGATTGGTTGAATGTTTTTTTTTGTCTTCTAGTGACTTAAGTGTAACGTGACCAATTGATGCCCTATCACATGGAGAAATCAGAATTATTTTGGACTTATTTTGGAATTTTATTTCTTTCATTTTTACAAAACAAAATCAGAATTAAAGGAAAATGGAGAAACGAACTGATGTATGTTTTGGACTTAAATGTTTTCTTATCTAGACCCTTCATGATCCTGGCCCATGTGCTTAATAACTGATTTCAGTTTATTTGTTATTTTACTTCTACACCCCCACTATTAGTTACTTTTTTTTCTTCTTTTGTTCATGTTTTCATTTGAATGTTATTTTACTCTAAAAATTCCCAAAAAATTCATGAACATACTTTGAGGTGTTACTTAATTTTACCATGAGATGTGTCTTGTTTGACCTAGTTTACAACTTAGAGTTTGGTTATTGATCTTTCTAATTTATTATTGATCCTAATTTTTGTACACACTTAGGTACATGTATATAGGACTCTTAAGTGCTCCTTTTATGCCTTGATCATTTATTTTGGCTCATGTTTGAATCTCTTTTTGAAGCTTAACTTGTTTGATCAATAGCTGCCTTTGATGCTTGATGATTGATTGTGTTTTGAGCAATTTTGTGCACTTCCTTTAGGAAAATTTTAGAACACATTTAAGCTACTGACATCATTATACTTTTATGATTTTTCATTCAATTTTTAAGCCTCTTAAGTGTTATCTTTGTGTGAAATAATGCATGCATGTTTGCCTAAATGCTTGTGTACATTGAAGTGATGTTTAGGAAAACACTTGTGCAATGTTTAAGGATTGTGATTGCCTCTTATTATTTATTGATATACCATGTGGTAAATCCTTCTCACCTTATTTTATAGTTTATTCCATGTCTCTTTGATTAAGTTCACAATTGATTGAAATTTTCCATGTATGCTTGCCTATCTTTGGTGCCCTTCCTTGAGTTTCTCATGCTATTTATTCTAGATGCTTATAATACTTGTGTGATGGATATTACATGTCATTTTATTATGACTTATTTAATTTGATACGTTCCTTCCACAATCCCTCTTCCCATTTACTTAACTTGATGTTAATGTTCCATTAGGAGGATGCTTAGGGTTTTGTTTTGAGATCTCCTTGTCTCAATATTTGAGAATGCCTTGGTATGATGACTTTGTGATGCTTATAGGTCTTTCATGTGTGATGACACCATGTCTAAGATTCTTACTTCTCAATTCTTGGTGCCTAATTCCATGCTTGATGTTTATCTTCACTTGTTAGGAATAATTCACTTCCTTTGACAACTTTTGCTTGATAATATGTTTTTTTGTTTAGGTTTTTGAATTCAATTCTTGTTTGAATCTTCTTGTACCTTTGAGACATGTCCTAATTGAATATCTTGTTCTTACTTGTCTCTTCTTCTTTACAATGTCCCTGTCTCTTACGCATTGCTTGTTAAGCACTTCTTCATTAGAGGACTAGTTTCCACTTAGGTGTGTTTGTGACCATGTGCTTGTGTGATTTTGTGGTGTATCCTTCTCAAGCATGAATGTAAGATGATGTAGATTCCGTTAAGTCATTGATACTTACTTTTATTCCTTTCAAATAATTCACTTTGCTTCACCTTCTTATGCCATGATTGGTTAGGTAATTGACACAAAGAGCTTCATATGCTAGTGTGATTGTTTGTTTGCTTTCTCTTGTGATCCTAATGCCCATACCTCTTGTTCATGACCCTTAGGGTTTAATTAACATGTATTTGTGTTTACTTTTATGAGAATTTGATGCCATATAAGTATTTGATACATGTTAAGCACTTGATCTAATGTTTGCAACTTGTTTGCGTTTTGTCTCTTCTTACCATGAATATTTATTTTGATTAGGTAATGTTTGATAACATGAAACCTTTTGTGGTATGATGAGATATCTTAAATCATTTTTACACTTAGGTATTTACCTCTTGTCTCATCTTGATTTTTTCTTGGTTCAAAGTAGCATTGTTAAAGTGTTCAATTCCTTTGTGTGTTTTTTACTTATACTTACCTAGTTAGGTTGTTTCCTTTGCTACTTGACTCATGATGCTTTATTTAGATAATGGTTATCCTAATAACATGTTAGAGGAAGTATCTTAGGGTTTATTGATGTACTCTCATGACATGTCCATTTAATTGTTTAATCATTTCTTGTTTGTCTTGTTTCCTTACTTGTTCAAGTAGGATAACTTCTAGGATTTAGAGATATTTATCTCTTGCATACCTTGTTCCCTTTTCTTATGGATTGATGTGTGATTAAATTACATATTCCCTCTTATATTTCTTTGATGACATGAATTCCACTTTTTTAAGTTCTCTTTGTGTTACCTTTGTTCAGGGTTTGTTAGTGTTTAGGTGGTCACCTAATTGCATGCGTTTGTTGCTTTTTACTTGCTTAAATAGGTAATTTCTAGGTATCTTTTTTAAGTTCTTAGTGTGTGAGTAAGTGTTTACTTCTCATATAATGTTTTTTGATCTCATATCTTGTTCAAGTGTGTAATTTTTTCTCCTCTTCTTATTTACTTCCTTTCTTGTAAGATCACATGCTCCCCATAGGATTTCCTTGGTTTATTCTTGTTCAAGATTTGAACTAAATTAGACCTTAGGCTTTTAAAATATGCATGATAACATTAGGTAGTTTCCTTTATCCTCCCAAATAGGTTCATCTTTGCATTCTAACATTATGTAGGATTTCCCTTCAAAATCAACTTTAGGGCCATTGTACATGATTGTCCTAACCAGAAAAAAATAAGGGTCACCACCACTACTTTTTGTCCTAAGGACGGAAAAGAACGGATAACCCTAATTTGGTTTAGAGATTCTAGATTCGCGAGTTAGTTAGACGAAGGGAAGGTGTTAGGCACCCTTTATCTCCCTTGTTCTCAAGGGGCATTCCATTTAGGTTTTAGGGTAGATCTAGAATTTCTATTTAAAATTTATTATTTCCATGGGTTTTAGAAAATGTTTAATATTTAGTTATGGGACTCGCCTTGGTTTTAACCGCATGTCTACGTATCATCTTATGGAGAATCATAGTCCAATTTCGTAGTTCGAATGTTTTTGTTAGTTTTTTAATAGGATTGTATAAATGCTTTCGAACGATCCTTTGAACTTCGTTTGTGTTTGAAAATTGTGTACTTGTAGACGTAGTTCAAAGTTTAATTTGAAAGTAAATCCACAACCCTATTTTTTAAAATAATATTGAAATTGAATTAAGTTAGTAAAGAAAAGTTTGAAGTTGATTAACTATTTTAAATGCATGATGTAATCTTCAAAACATTTAAATGAAATTGAATTGAAATTAGTAAAACAAGTTTAATGATTAAAAAAAGTGGTTAGTAATTTTAGAAAAAAAGTAATAATTTTTATAATGTTTATCATCAAAAATATGTTATATTTATAATAATAAAAAAAGAAGTTATTTTAATGCGAAAAATGAGAAAAATGCTATAGGGGAAAATGATCAAAGCAAAAAAAAGTGTAATAAATAAATCAAATAAGTTAAATAAGTTAAACAACTTAAATAAAATAGGGGGTGTTTTTAGCTATGAAAGTAATACAGGGGGTGTAAAAAACAAGGGCTTAAGCCCAAAACTTGTTGGAGTCCAATTCGCCAGGGGGTGTTGTTTTAATTCACATAGTAATATGGAGGGTGCAAAAATCATTGGGTTTGGCCTAGACAGAAATAGAGTCAGTTTGGACATTGTATGGGAATCTCTATGGTGTTATGGTGCACTAGTATTTTTGGAATGCTTGATCTTGATCAAAGGGGCCACCAGAGGTTAACTCTGGGGCATTGATCAAGAGTATAGAAAACACAGGGCCCTGAATAAAAGTTGACTGAGGGAATATGGAATGGAGCATGTACAGAGCGACAAAGGGATTATATATTCACTTCCCTTTACAATTTTTCATTTTTTCCTCTTCTTCATCTATCTATGGCCATTTCCTCTATCTTACTATACAACCCTTAGAGAGAGAAACTTTAACTTTTCTCTAGAAACAACCACCACCATAAATTGCTCTACCATCCTAACCACCCTAAACCACCTTGATCACCCAGTTTTACGATTAAACATCAATAGGAAAACTCAAACCTAACACAGATCTTCATCCCAAATCTAAGAACCATTGTCTTCCAGCGTGGGTGGCCGTTGAAGCACTACGCTAAAAATAAGTTTTAGCAGCACATAAAAGAAAGCGCTTTTGGAAAAAAGCGCTACTGTAGATTTTAAAAAAAATAGCTTAAAAAAGCGCTTTCAAAGGGTGCCTTAAGAAAGCACTTTTCAAAAGCGCTTCTAAAGGTCACCCTTAGAAAGCTCTTTTTGGGAAGCGCTGCTAAAGCTGGCCTTTCAGAGGGTACCTTAAGAAAGCGCTGCTAAAGGTCAGCCTTAGAAAGCGCTTTACCAAAGCGCTGCTAAAGATGGCCTTTAGAAAGCGCTTTTAAAAGCGCTGCTATAGGATATATTACGAAAGCGCTTTTTGATGTAAAAGCGCTGTTATAGATGACCTTTAGAAAGCGCTTTCGTAGGTAGTTTTATACATTTTATATTTTCATTTTTGTCCATTCGTTCATTAACCATTATCGTTCTCTCTCTCTCTCTCTCTCTCTCTCTCTCTCTCTCTCTCTCTCTCTCTCTCTCTCTCTCTCTCTCTCTCTACTCCACCTTCTTCCTTTATCATCTAACATCAAACCCTAAAACCAACCCCGCAGTGGCGCTCAAACCCGATCCTTCCCCCGACTATAAACTCAAAACTTAACCTCTGATCGCGATTGTTATTTTAATTTCCCCGCCGTCGTAAGTTCTCTCCTTCAATTCATATCTTTCTCGCTACCTCTTTCTGTCTTTATTCTTATCTTACAAACCCTCATGTTTCATCGAATTCGTCGTCTCAAACCCTAGAATAAAGTCTTTACGCACCGTGATTCTTCATATTACATCAATTTTTGCCTTCAATTTGTGCTGAATATGGTTGCTGATTTTTAATTGATATTTGTTCATGCTTTTGTTTCAGAGGGTAGCTAAACCACTTATCACCGAGCTTGTTGCTCTTACAGAGAAGAAGATGGACATGACACTAGGTGTGTTTTTTTTGTTATATCACATTCATCATAACCTTTTTGTATAACATCCTTTTTATTATTTTTGATATATTTAATGTTGGTGTTGTTCACAGATGACATAATCAAAATGTCTAAAAACCCTAAATTTACAACAAAGCAAACTAGGGTTTCGGTAAGTGTTTTTGCTTTTGAATATTTCTTTGCTTATTTGTTTGTTCATTGTACTTCATAGTTATTGTTTTGCTTGATTGATTCATATTCATGTCTATGCAGAACAAGAGCAAAAAATTTACAACAGTTTTGCACAAGATAGATCTTTTAAGGCGCGCCGGTACATGGAGTCGAGATCTTCTCTTAGACAAGTATGTGTATGAAGCACCACAGTCATATTATGTTTTCTTTTTTGTACATATTTCCGATATTAACTCGTTCACTTGCGGTTCTTAGGGAGTTCTTGCAAAAAGAAGGTCAAATTTCCAGGGAAACCAATTTCCCCTTGCAACTGAGGTTGCGCGTAGGGTTGTTGCTTCTCCTCTGCACTATGGAGGTGCTAACCTAAATAATATGGGTAATTGGAATAAACCAAGGTATTAAGTTTTTCTTTGATTGTTATGTGCACACATGTTATGCATCAGAACATGAGAGAAATTTGAGGCTGAATATGTTAACTTTGAGTGGCGTGGTTAAGAGCTGTGGCTAACTTTATATGTAAATCGATGCATCATTGCAGGTAACCCATGGTCCATTTGTGATATTGATGACATCATAAACGTGTCTCCCATTTATAAGATATTTTTCCTTTGCAAATGGAGTTGGTTTGATATTTTGAATGAGTTGAGAGGCAGAAATCAAAACGCAGAAATCAAAAAGCTAAGTTTCGTTTACCTCTGATCGTGATTATTCTGATATGTTATGTTTTTGGTTCTTATCTTCTTCTTTCCTTTCGATTTGCAGTTCAAGGGAGGTGATGGCCTTCGAAGGTGATGTAACAGCGGCTCAGAGATGCGTTTAAGGGAGGTTGACGGCGGCGCGATTTAGGGTTTCAGATATTGAAACCCTAAATCATATTTTCTCCTTTTCAACAGCAAGGCTCTGTATTCCTCTAAGTTTTTTCTTCTTTTCTGCTCCGTCTTCAGATCTTCCCCCCTTTTCTGTATTCTTCTTTAGCTATTTATAGGGCTTAGGGTTTCAGATTTTGCAAAACATCGTTACAAGTTTGATTAGAGCTTAGATTTAGAGTGATTAGGAAAATTAGGGGTTGAAATCGTTTGTAATTGATTTGATTCTATAATGTATTGATTTTATTTTATTTGTTCTGTAAGATTTAATTTATTTTCTATACATTCTGAGATTCATTTGTAAAAAACATTGATTCTATTTTTTTTAGATCCCAACAGTGTTTGTTGATTGTTCTAGAAAAAAGCGTTGCTAAAAGCCTACCTAAGACAACGCTTTTCCAAAAAAAAGCGCTGCTAAAAGAAAACTTATGAGAGCGCTTTTCCAGAAAAAAGCGCTGCCTTAGGTAGACCTATGAAAGCGCTTCTTCATAAAAAAGAGCTGCCAAAAGCCTACTTAAGAGAGCGCTTTTTAGAAAAAGCGCTTTCGTAGGTAGACCTACGAAAGCGCTTTTCATTAAATAAAAAGCGCTTCTAAAACCTATAGCAGTGCCACCTTAGAAAGCCCTTTTAAGCGCTTTTAAAGGCCAAAAAAAGCACTTTCGTAACTTATTTTTGGCGTAGTGAAGCCACCGTCTCAGGTGAGAGTTTGGCTGGAACTCCACCTCTTTTTGGAAATCACACAAGAACCCTATGAAGATTAACCCTAACCCTAAGAACCCTAAGCCAAAATTGATGAACCCTAACCCTAATTGCATGAACCCTAGCCCAAAAACATGGACACACATGAACTCTAACCCTCTTATGGAAGAACCCTAACCCTAACCTGATGAAACCTACCCCTAAGGAACCCTAAACCTAACCCTAAGCCCCAAATTTCCCAGAAATCCAACAGTTAAACCCCAACTATTCAAACATTCGACAACCACCACAACAAATATAAGCCCTAAGCTAAGTCTTTTGCGTTTACCTCTCCTACGGTGAGTTTGGTCGTTTAATCCAAGATTAGATGTGCTTCAGATTTGACTCAAGAATAATAATCTGGAATTGGGCTTTTGGTGTTTCTTATGGTTGAAGAGTCCAATCTTGGGCGCAACCATGCTATTAAGTTTTCAACCCTAATTTTGACTTATTCAAAATTTAAATTATTTTAATAATAATAAAAAAATAATAATAACAATGTAATAAGAAATTAAAATATAAACGTCAAGCATGAGAATATGTTGACCTCAGGTTAACCTGGAAATTTTATATATATATATATATATATATATATATATATATATATATATATATATATATATATATATATATATATATATATATATATATATATATATATATATATATATATATATATATATATATATATATATATATATATATATATATAATAATTTTTTTAATTATAATTAAATATTTAATTAATTAATATTATTAATTTAAAATATTAATAATTTAATTAATTAAAAATTAAATATTATTATTTAAAATTAATATTTTAATTAATTAAATTTAATTTAATATTTATAAAATAAATATTGACTCCGGTCAACAATAATGATAATTATAAAATAGAACCACCTAATCTAACTTAATTTTAACATGGGCCTCTTAAAACTCTTAACGGGTTATTTGATTTAATTTAAGATAAGGAACCCCATTTTAAATATAAAAAAACCATCCCTAAAATTAAACTCTATTATATTTAAACAAAAATAAATAATAAATTAGCATGCTGAAGTTACTTGAAAAAATAAAACAAATAACTTCAGGTGGAACAAACAGAGTCGCCAACTAAGTATATTTATCCCAAAAAAATATAGGGAAAGGAAAATATAGAGAAAACCTTTGATATTGGGAAAAGAACATGGTCTTGCAACCAAATCTCGGGTAAGGGATTCAATTACGCAAGGGGGAGATATTAGCACCCCTCACGTCCTTGGAATTCCATGAGATCCACTTTTGTTATCTTAATCAATGGTAGTGTAAATCTAAAACTTAGTTGCTAAAGGGAAATGTATGCATAAATTCATTGGGAAAAAGAAAAGGTTTTTAATAGTGCATTCTCCTGAGTATTGAAATTCCGTGCCTATGTATTCATAAGGGAATCAGAACACCATAGTTCTTATTAAAAATATTTTGTTTGTTGTGTGTTTTTTATGCATGATGTTAAATTCGCATTCTAATAGTTAACATTGCCACTCAACCGTTGGAGACTACGCATCATTGTTTTGTGTAGAATGGAGTTAACATATTCTTTTTCAAAATGTTTTAAAGTGAAAAAAGGCCCTAAGGCAAAATGATTTGGATTTGGTTGGTGTTTTTGTTAAGAAGAAAGGGTAACAAGTGGTCCCTCGTCCAAGGAGACACATGTCACCTTCACACCTTTAGTTTTGAAAGGGTTTTGAATATTGTTAAGTGTTTTTGGATTTTTTATTGAGAAAAGCTTTTAGTCTTAATGATGCAATGCAAAAGGAAAAGAAAAGAAAAAAGTCTAAATGAGAGACTTGTTAATCCTAATGTTATCATACAAGGATTGATCCTATAGTTGAGATTATGGGGGAATCTGACCTAATGTTGTCATGCAATGATTGACCTAGGGTTTGGATTAAAATGAGGAACTTTTATCCTAATATTGTCATGCTTAGATTAAAGTCCTAATGTCTATCTTGATTCAAGCTTCATCAAGGATTTAAGATGAGCCAAGTAAGATTAAGGGAACGTGTTATTCACACAAGCAATGAGCACACAATTGGATGAGAATCAAAGAGTTTTATTTGGCAAAAGATTTGTGACAAAAAAGTGAAAGTTGAAAGCATGTTTTTGATGTTTTAGGGTTTATGCTTTCAAGGAGTTTATGAAATCAATATATTCAAAATATTTAACTGTTGTACCCCAAAATTTTCCCTCTCAAATTACCAAGATTTCCCCTCACAAGACTCTTTGGACTCAAGACTAGATTAGGGTTTGCTCTGCTCAAGACATCTCCTTGCACTGCTGACCTGAATTAGGGTTTGAGTTTTCACAAGGATTTTTGGACTTCCAATGCCCCAAGTGACTTTCATACTTCATGTTGGACTTATAAGTTTTCCCATACAAAGTTTCAAGCCTTGAATCAAATTTTTGCCCAGTCAAGTGGGAACTCAAAAGATTGTGCGTCGCTCCCGGGCTGGAGGGCCACCAGTGAAGATCACCCATCATGGAATCAATACTTTGGAGGATAGTGAAGAGGAGAGCATTCTGGAAGACTGGATTTTCCCTACTGTTGAAGGAGGACTGTGCAATTGGGAGGCAAAGGACTTTATTCTCATTACTTTCATAAATCAGTAATTTACCTTTCAAACATTTCTGTTGGTTTGTAATAATTCCTAAATAATTCATACACTTTTAACCTTGTGCCTTACCCGAGGTACACAGGTCCATTTGTAAGGGTTTGATTTTTAATCTTCATATGCCATTTTAATGAATCATGGACGTTTTCACATATAAACTTTTGTGTTCATTTTCTTTCTTTTTGCATTTTATTTGTTTAAAGATGGATATCCCTTACATACACCCACACTCACCAATGCAGGTACCCTTCCACTCTGGATTCCATGGGTAACAATTCTGCTATGGCCTTCAGTGACTCTGAAGATCTGGTCTACCATGCCGAATATGAAGGTGATGAAGACTGTGAAGTGCCGGGAGAATTGGATAGACTGCTACAACAGGAAGAAAGGGCTATTCTACATAATGAGGAGTTATTAGAGATAATCAACTTGGGTACATAGGAAGACAGAAAAGAAGTTAAAGTGGGTGCCAACCTAGAGCCAAGTGTCAAGGAGCGCTTAGTTCAGCTGTTGAATGAATATATTGAGATCTTCGCCTGGTCATACAAAGACATGCCGAGACTTGATACAGACATTGTGGTTCACCGTCTCCCTACAAGAGAAGATTGTCCACCAATTAAACATAAAGTTCGCCGCATGAGGACTGACATGTCTGAAAATATCAAAGCTGAAGTTATGAAGCAGTTCAATGCTGGCTTTCTTGCTGTTACATCATATCCACAATGGGTTGCTAACATTGTGCCCGTGCCTAAGAAGGACAGAAAAGTCAGAATGTGCATGGATTACAGAGATTTAAACAGGGCTAGCCCTAAAGATGACTTTCCACTATGGCACATTGACATCTTGGTTGACAATACAGCTCAGCACAAGGTATTTTATTTCATGGATGAATTTTCGGGTTACAACCAGATCAAAATGGCACCCGAAGACATGGAGAAAACTAATTTTGTTACACAGTGGGGTACGTTCTGCTACAAAGTGATGCCATTCGGACTGAAGAATGTCGGGGCAACCTATCAACACGCCATGGTAGCCTTGTTTCATGATATGAGACATCATGAGATAGAAGTCTACGTAGATGACATGATAGCCCGATCACAAACGGAAGAAGAACACCTCGACCATCTGCAAAAGCTGTTTGTCAGGTTGAAAGAGTACAAGCTCAGAGTGAACCCTAACAAGTGCACTTTCAGAGTCAGGTCCGGTAAACTCTTGGGTTTCATTGTCAGTAACAAAGGCATCGAGGCTGATCCTGCCAAAGTCAAAGCTATACAAGAAATGCTT